TCCCTTCTTTTGCAAATACACACATAAATTAAGAATGAGATGTAAAAATTATAAGTATAGTACATGTATGACAGAGAAATGAACTGTCTCCTTTGCTCCTTCCAAAGGTATCACTAAATGGTAGCAACTCTAAAATGCCATAATAATATACTGTCATAAAACTGTACTTACAGAGATAAGTCATAGAAAAATGTAACCTAAGGTATTATGCAAATATTTTAAGTTTGTATTCAATAGTCCATAGATGTGAACTAAACACCCCAATGCACCAAATCTCTTCTGACCCATGGATTTAGCAAATTGTTTCTTTTGTTACATGAAACATCTTTCTTACAAGAAATGCAACACCTCATACATACACTTACTCCATTTTCTTATGTGTATTAGTCTTACAAAATTCTTACTCTTAAAGGTGTCAGAGTATGATGCTAAACTCTACATTAATCTTAAATTTAAATCTTCAGTAGCAAGAATGGGCTCAGAAACCGTGTTTGTTATTGGAAACTCAGCTTTAAATACTTAGATGCCCTCTGATGTTTACCAGTTCCTTTGTAGCATTCTACTGAAAGTCATTTCCATCAAGCATTATTTGAGCAATTCTTAAGAGTTCTTAAAGAGTTATTACATTTGACAATGACTGATTCATGTCCTCTTTGGTCTTATGTCCTGATTGATTAGAACTGTGCACACAATATTGACAGAGAGATGACTTTATAGAGCTTAGAAACTTGAATTCTCATTCTTATTAACATTCTTTTAAAAATGGGGTTATTCATTTTGGCAGTAGTGGTAAATAATGACTTGTTTTTGGAAATATATGTGCCACCACAGATAGTGGTACTATGAAAATAAATTCAGTTCAGTGATTCATGTTTCAGTTTATTTCAAGAATTCTTTGAATAAAGTTATATAGTACAATCTATTAAAATGTGCTGTCAGGGGAGAAAGTAAAAAAGCCATTGACAAGTATGAAAACCATCCAAAAGATTTGAACTACGTAAAGGACCTAACACAACACAGAATATACTCTGTTAAAAAAATGGAAACTTTATTGCATTTGTATTTTATAGTTTCTTTAGTAGTAAAATAAGACCAATTTATTATAAATCATCTTAAGGTAAAATAGTGTGTTGTAAAGAGAGAAGGCTTTGAGTGGGTTGGCCTTGAGTCTGAATGTTGGCTGCAGTTAACTATTCTTAACTATACTACTACTGAGCCTCTCTGGGTTTTATATTATTTCAATGCATTATGGTACAATGGGAAAGTAATTAAAATGCAGAATCTAGAATACAGTTTATGTTCAATAAAGCATCTATTTTTATACTGTTATTATAACTAAAGTTTCAAATTAAACCACAGAACCTCATGTAGAACAAATAATTTTCAGGTTGGAGATTGTAGCAAGGTTTACTCATGATTCTTTTTTAAAACCATGGTAAATAAATCTGAATCCTAGAAAATTTAGTTTATTCCATAGATCTTCTTCTCTCAAAAGAAATCATTAAAGATGATGGCAGAATTTTGTACATTGCCAATATGTATGGTGATTAGGCTTATTTAATAGAAAGCAATAGTAAATGGTTTTATAATAATAAACAGGCAATTTCTTTTCTGGTATATGCAAAATCCATTTCAATTCAGACTTTCTCCTATATATTAGGCTGGTATGGAAATTTTTCTTAACCACCCAGCTGCTATAATGTTAAATAAATTAATTTTAATCTTAAATCAGAGATGTAATAGAGAAACGGGTGATTTAATATGCAATCTCATTACATTTGACAGGCTTATTTATAAATGATTTGCCTCACATTTTGACAAGCATAGTTAATATGTTAATTAGCTTTTTAAAAGATGATGAAAGGAAGAAACTGACATGCTATCATTCTTTGCATACTGTGTTGGGAAGAAATGTAGCTGATACCCTCCAACCCTACAAAGGCACTGTAATGCTGAAGAGACAGTCATTTGAGACCTACAAATAATTGAGCTACCTGATATAATAATCCTTAAAATCATCCCAAACAGTGGTCTGCTTTAGAAAACAAATGCAGCTCTAAACATATTTCTGAGAATCTATAAAGGAATTAAAAGTTTATTTACAGCAATGACCTACCTAAACAGCCACAGCATAACTCTATGGGCAAAGGAAAAGCTATACACACAAACTGTTTCTCTTATAGGGGTTTCAGAGCCCTGCGAGCCTTTGCAGTTTACAACCTAAGAAATAGCTTCCTATGCTCTTGACTTTCAGAGGTACACTGCTCAGGTCTTCTCCAGACAAACGTATCAAAAACTACCTTCCCTGATGAGTTCTCAATCACATAGTGTCTCCACACATTTCCATAATGCTTGTGGACTAGGGAAGAAGCTCATAACAAGGCCTGCTCTGACTTCTATCACTTACTGACAATGTTACTGCATATGTGTCTTCATTAATATTTTTATTGCCTGTGGCTAAACAGAAACCTAGAAAATGTAGTGCTGTGTAGGGATCACTAGTTTTTAGTTACTACTCTCCTGCCCCAGAATGGTAAATGAACTGCAAAAATTGCCTAAAATTATTGCCACCTGCCTCCCTGCTATTGTCCGTAAGTTAATATTTGTACTTTTCTTTGGTGCAGCTGAGCCATGACTCAATTATAATCCCATTTCTAGGTGTCTGAACACCCAGCATGGATGTCATTGATTATGCAAAAATAAGTGCCCTGTGAACTTCTCTCTAACTGGAAAAACCCATATATTTTACCTGACTTGTAGCAAAACTACAAAATGGCTTTTAGAAAATGTCTGGGAATGTAATCAGATTCAGAATGACAGGCATCACCCAGATATAACTCAGGTTTTAGGGCTTAGAAATGGAGTGAAAAATAAGCATAGGAAGCTGCTCAAGCCTAACACATTTGCTATTTTTTTGGCATCAAATAATCTTGAATGTGGACAAAGGGGCATTTGGGGCTTACTATTTCTACCAGTTTTCTTTCCTTCTTCTTAAATAATAGTCTTCTTATACTTCCATTATGCTTCTGTTCAAAGTAAATTGGCAAAAAGAGCCCAAGTCATCTTTCTTAAGAAAATGAACACACACACAAACACACACACACACACAGATCTTTCCATGAGAAAAGGTTGGGGGAGGAACACAGACTGGAAAACAAATATTATACATTAGAAACAAACATCTGAGCAAGTCAGGTTCCTGTAGATTTTATATTTTAGAAACACTCTTATAAGTTTTGGAAAAATTAGTCACTAATGTATTAAAAACAGCTTCTGATGATTATAAGGATACAATCCTAGCTGAACTGCCAAGAAACTAAGGCAAAACAAGTTTAGGCCACAAATGTTCCTCAGATATGTTTTATTAGACAAGTCCTTAACTGAACTCAATGAGAGACAACCTAGAATTTCCACATTCAAAAATAGAGAAAAACAATTCTTCATGACTCAAAAATATTAAGTAATGATTATTTGTATAGCCAACTCTCAACAAAGGAAAGAAAGAAAGAAGGAAATGAGAGATTTAGTAACTGATACCCAAATGGATTCACAGGCCTTTATTTCTAATCCTTTCCTCTACTATAACTAATGGTCTAAATGTCTGTCTTGCCCCAGGACATAATTATCCTTGAGGAATATTTTTCACTGAATAAATAACTTTAAAAAAACAAAGCAAGGAAGTGTGATGGAGAAAAATAGACTAGTTTAATCACTCATCAATAGCTGGTTATCTTTAGTCTCTGCATCTTAGAATATTACTAAAATGATTTTAGGTTTATTATGACATTCCAAAATTTAAAATGGCAGTCTTAGGGCTTTAATTCTTTTATAATATTACTAAAAGCTATATATTTATACTTTACAAAAATTGTCACTTAAACATCAAGTGTTACGTGTATTTTCAGTGGCTTTACAGGTCTTCAAGTCCCCTATCTAGAAACCTAAATTGGGAAAGTCTCCTGTGTGTCTTGCATTTCAAGTAACTTAGTTATTTTTTACCATATTTTTTTTATCAAACAGAACAGGAGCCAGACCTTAGCATTGCCTAATTTCCTAAAAGCCAAGATCCCTGGAGCAGAGGACTGAAGAACATATATAACAGTAAGATAAATAAGACATGTTGTTGAAGTTTCACTGAGGTCATAAACACTAGAAAACTGCATAGTAATTCTGTAAGACAGAGACATAATTATTAAAGGAAGAAAATTTCTGGGGATAAAATAGCCATGTACTGTGTGAACAGTTTTACATTGAATATTATAATGAGTCCACAAGGAAACTTTTTTTTAATCAAGAAAAGACATGCTTGGTAGCGATGAGTGAGCTTGTCCTGAGTGCTAAAAATAAGATAATTTCCTTATATAATTATTATTATCTAAGTCACACTTAGTTGAGAACTCCGAGTAGCCTATGATTAATAATAATAAACTTTTCTTACCAGTTACTGAGCCACATAAAATGTATTTCTAATCTCTGTTGAACCACTGCCTGAAACTGAGACTCTCCTAAAATTAAATCTATAATATTTTTTAAAATAACCATTTCATTCCACTTTGAATAATGTATATCAACAGTTTTCAGGGGTATATTATTAGTCAATTTATTGCCTAACATTTACAACCCAATGTTAAGTATTTCCTGAACTTTGCTGTGACTTTAAACATATCCCCTGCTACTTCCAACTATATTGTTACTTGCAGCTACACACTTCCTTTTTATAAAATTACAAATTAAGACCCTTAGGGGGAGAAAATCACAGTACTGACAGTTAGAAAAATGTTTCTGCCTTTGTCCATCAAGAGCCAGTACCTGACACCATCTGCAGGCAGACTGATTAGGGAACATTCCCAATCATGTTATAAAAATCCTGTGGAATGGCCACACGCAGGCACCACTCCTGCATCATCAATCTTCATCTAAGCTGTTAGGATGTTTGTCTAGACTTGACCCAGACCAAACACTGCACATAGATTAGCTAGCATAAAGCATTAACTCCTTACCACATGTCAAGGCAGGTAGAATATTCTGTGGAGCCCAGTAGGACATCTGGAGGTCTGTACCACAAGGTAACCACTTCATTGGAGTATGTGTGACTAGGGACAGATTTCGCTCTCGCAAGACCTGTGGGTTACATGAAACATACGGAAGTTAAAAGGACAATAACAGAACAAGGATTTTATATTTGAATGTTGTCTATCTTAAAAGGTCAATCTCACTACTGTAATTTGAATCATGAACTCAATGTCAAAGCTCACACAAAGGTTGAAGAGAACATATTGTGGTCTCTATGCTTTAGACATAAGTTAATAACCACTAACTTATGTTTGCAAATACAGCACAGCTGTCATGAATCTAACAGCATATCAGCAAAGAAAACAATATCTTAAAAAGTGTTAGCTGTAACTGGAAAGCTTAGCAATCAGATTTTTTCAAGTCATGTTTCATAGAATTCTAGTTCAAATAGCTTACAAGTTTGTAAGTCATACCAGAAAGAGTTCCTTGTCAAACACTTTTGAGAAAATATGGATTTGGAAAGATAAACAGTCATTCAATTGTAAGACTTCTCAGTACCACCAGTTTTTATAATCTGTAATATGCATCTGCAACACTTTTCTAAAGGCACTGCCCACAAAACGTGTGTTTTCTGTGTTTTGTCTAACACTAAAAATTGTGTATTTGGGATCTTATTTGAAAACCAACAAAGTAATTATAAAAAAGAATAGTCAAATCTGGTAAATCAGAAAATGACACAGAATATAATAAATTAAAATGTCTTGGTCTAATAAACTTTAACATGGAGAAAACCATCACAAAAATACAAGCATAAGCATCTGCAATTTGACCTAATAACCATAAATACTTGAAAAGATTGGCAGAAAAATATGCAAATATCTCCAGGGGTTTACTTCTAAAACATAAGATTACCATTTTTTTAAGTTAGTAAGTTATTCTGAGTCATCTCCCAAGATTTGTGCAATGAACAAATAACATTTTTAAGTGACAAAACATTTTAAGTGACAGTGAAGGAAAACAATAGCTGTAATAGTTATGCACCTGGCTGTGCTCATTAATGTAAAGTACTACAGTATGAAGCTGGAGTGTCCCCCAATGGCCTACATGTTAAAAATCTCGATCACCAACCTGAGGTTCCAACCTGAGGTGGCAGAACCTTTGGGAAGAAGGATCTAGTGGGAAGAAGTTGGCTCCTGGGGACATTCTCTTAAAGGAGATAGTAGGATGCTGGTCCCTTTCTCTTTATTTATGAGTTGAGTAACTTTGCTCTAAACATGCTCCCTGACATGAAGCTCTGCCTGCCTCTCTGCAGGTGAGCCAAACACAGACTGAAACTTTTGAAACCATGAACTGAAACAAACCTTTCTTTCCTTCCTTTAGGTAAATTACCTCAAGTATTTTCTTTGACAATAATTGAAAGCTGCTGATAAACAAGTAAAAAGTGTGCATCACAATGATACCTAAAGCACATAAAATACCTCAATAGTCAACATACTGTAGTGTATAGATTTTCCTATGTTTAGACTATTAAAACTGTTTATGTAGCATTCAGGACCATGACTTAGACCTATTTTATGAGTATAGCATTCTAGTTTCAGAATTATATACAGATTTTAAAATTAATAGGACAGCTGGCAAGACAAAGAAGTCTAATAAATTCAACTATGGTGGCAGTCATAATTTTTTCCTGTAATGAAGTTTTACAATACACAATGGCATATTGTAAGATTCTTCATGTTTATAAATAATCCATATTAAAATGTACAGATTACATACAAACATACACATTCATGGTGTTCAATTTTTCTGCATATAAATAAGTATTTTTAACAACAGATTTCCATAACCTCTTATTTATTTTTCTCCACAGGCTTTCATCCTAATGAATTCAGGCAAACTAAAAAAAAAAAAAAAGGACAATCTGGATGAGAAAGTGTTTCCAAAATCTAATAGTCAGATCACATCTGGTTCCTCAAAGACAATGTTTCCATCAGAGACCAAAGAGCTAACAAAAGTCCTGAAATAGGATCTGACTCATGGCATGGTTTATTTGTCAAGTCAGATGAAAAAGAATTCACAGACTGAATTCCCTTGGTATTCCAAGGTCCTACTGTCAGATGTTAGGTGATGCTAGAGAGATAGGAGAATAAAAGTTTGTTTTGACAGCTCAGCTGACTAAGCTACTTACTTAAGAATGTAATATTCGTAGTTATAAGGACAAAACAAAATTCAAATATATAGTATAACTCAAAGATATAGCATAAATCAAAATATTATGTGTGGCTTCCAATCAAACTATATGTAGTTGGAATATATATGGAACATATAAATAAAATAATTTTCTTAATTTATATTATTTTCTTTTTTCTATATATTTAGGTTAAAGAATGTCCCAACTTCATTCAGAGGGGCCACACAACTTCCTAAAACAACAGTCAGAAGGGTGTATATTTTAAACATAAAACCTTTCAAAATTTCTTAAGTTGGTTTGTATTCATAAGAATCAAGAATATTATGTTTTTAAGATACAATTTTCTGTATTGCTTTAAAAAAAGCTCTCTTATAATCTCATTTTAATATAACCAACTGACACAGTATGTTGTTAAAAGAGTCTTGTATGAACAAGAGGTTTTTCACCTTAAATATGAGGTTTCTCTCCAGTTAAGATAAATTCTAAAATGTTCAGAGAAGCAAGTTCTTAAAACAATGGTTCAAATATAAAAGAGAAAGAAAGGAAGACAGAACTCTTGAAGTATGATTATATAACTACATTTTCTAAATAGTTTTAGTAAAGATGATGCTATGTATTTATACAGTTCATGAATCAAACACGCTTACTCATGCAAAATTTATTAAACTGCATCTTCCAGCTGAAGGAAAACTGTAGGATAGGATTAATTAGCACAGCATGTGTGAAAGCTTTCTTTCTCTGTTCCTTGTCAGTTGCTATGGTTACACGACAGGAAGAGAACTACACTACCTTTTAAAAAGGATGAAGTTCATGGGTTAGTATCAAAACTTCTTATATTAATGTTTAGATTGAATTAAAAGTCAAAAGGCAAAGTGAGATGCTAACCAGATGAGTGCACATTATTTACATGCTGCTGCTTTGGCTGAAGGTTTACAAGTTCTTTCAGGCACTTAAAATGCCTTGCATAACAATTCAGAGTATCAGCCTTAAAGTGTGGCCATTTCTAACCAGTGAAAGATCTTAGAGTAGAAGAGAAAACCATTCTATTCAAGATTTACAGCCAGTGATTAAAAACTGGGCTGTTCTGATTCTAATATAGCAGAATATTAGACTTCCAGAGGATTTAAGAAGCTTTATAGCTAACAACTTCCCAACAAAAAAGTTCCTTTTCATACCTCTATAAAATGGCTAACTGACAGACATAACATCTGCTGCTATCTTGAGCCTTTCTATCCTCCAGTAGAACAGAGAACAAATCCCACAAAACAGGGCTCCCAGCATTTGTTTAAGCAGGTCAGCCCTTCAGTATTAAGCAATGAAAACTCATCAGGCTTTTTTTTTCTTACTCATTCTCTCTGCTGGCTTAGACCCTGATGGTCTCAGTAGACTCCCCAATGTTTACATTTCCATTCTTTAGTTCTAGGCCACAGAACAGTTAACCAGGACTTGGTCTCTTCCTGGGATCTTTCTCTATTTTTTTTCCATACTAGTTTTGTATAAGGCTATATACTCAAATTCAGTATGTGACCATTTGCAAATAGGCAGATGTTCCCTAGAGTGTCATTTGTTGATTAATTGGTCTTTAATTCAGTGTTCAGAGTAGGGTTTTTAAGAAGTGATTGGATCATGAGGGCTAAATCAATGGATTAATGCACTTATTTTAGATGGAAAAGCACTGTTGAGAGATGCTGGAAACTTGGGAGGTGATACTTCTTTGGCAGAAGCTGGTCACTGAGGCCCTAACTGGACACTTCCTCTCTAACTGTCATGAGACGAGCAGTTTTGCTCTACCACATGCTCCCTGCCAAGATGTTCTGCCTTGCTACAACCTGTGACAATGGAGCTGAGCGATGAGGGGCTGAAACCTTGTTTTTCTAAGGTATTTGGTCACCAGGATGAAAAGCGATTAGTATACAGAATGCTTTCTCAAATGCATTCACACTGTAAGTCATGATGGCTAATGTTATGTTTCAACTACCTTCTATAAATGATTACTTCCAAAATTTTACCTCTAGCTCACACTTGTCCTTGGGCTTCAGAGATCTGCTCTAGTAACATCCCCACAGGCACTAAAATGTCCTTCTAGTGCTCAGGACAACCTCAGCCCAAATCAACACATATAACATGACTTAAGAGTCTGGGGGAAAAAAACCATTTGAAATCCTCAAAGTTGCTGGTTTTGTCTGTCAATAGATTGTTTTTGTTTGTTTTTGGGCTGGTCCTGGGGCTTGAACTCTGGGCCTAGGTGCTGTCCCTGAGCTTCTTTTGTTCAAAACAAGAGCTCTACCACCTGAGCCACAGCACTACTTCTGGTTTTTTTGAGTAGGTTAATTGGAGGTAAGAGTCTCACAGAATTTCCTGCCTGGACTGGCTTCAAACCGTGACCCTCAGATCTCAGCCTCCTGATTAGCTAGGATTACAGGCATGAGCCACTGGAGCCTAGCTCAATAGACATTTTGTATTCCATGTACATGTATTTATTGCTTCAGGTTCTAATTCATCCTTTTCTTTATAAAGGTGGGAAAATTGATTGGAACATGGTAATCTAAGTCTGCTAAGAAAATTATGAATTTAGATTAAGATATCAGAAATGATAATTCCCATTAATTTGCTCTAAAGGAATTGAGAAGGAACTGGAAATTTGTTCTTTTCTAATGAAGTGGAATTAATAACAGCAAAAGCCAGATGGATTTGCAGTAGTCAACTAAAATATACAATACAAGAGTGTCGTTGACTGCTTTGGAGACTTTTCACAGGACAGATAATTTTTTGAGCTTGATACTTTGTCAATGTCATTGACTTTCAGTTAGAGCCATTTCTATACCTGTTTCCCAGTCTTGTCCTTGGACCTATAAATCATTGGGAGGGGAGGGAGAAGGGCTTATTATCTTATAGAACTCCAAGAAACCATTTCCCC